TCAAATTCTCCCTGAAAAGCTGATTTCATCGATCTATCTTACTTGGGATCTAGCGGGAATGATTACAGAGATATATAGGGTGTTGAAAATCGAGATTTTTCAACTTTAGGATTTTTTTGTGTTGAAACTATCCATTATTAGTCAAAATGGCTCAAATATCCCCATCTCAACTCTTGATTTACCATCTACTGACATTTAGTTGGAACGAATACAGGGGTGGTTCAAGAATCAGAATTCTGATCACCCTGTATCTGTTTCAATTGAATGTCAGTAGATAGTAAATCAAAAGTTGAGATACGGACATGTGAGCCGTTTTGATCAATAACGAATAGTTTCGACACAAAAAAATCCTAAAGTTTGAAAAATCTCGATTTTGATTACCCTATATGTCTGTAATCATTCCCGCTAGACCCCAGTTAGATAGATCGATGAAATCATCGTTTCAGGGAGAATCTGCAGATTCATCAAAATACAGGGTGTTCTATTTGAAATTAGGAATAACTGAGAAAGTGGCAACATTGGTGATAACATTCTCAAATCCGACACGTTTTGAAATCACTCTGTACATAAATTCAAAAAAAAGTAACAAACGGTTACCGAGATATTTGCTTGGTTCCATATTTCATCCCAACACTTTATAAACTCCTACAATTTTTCGATAACACGATTTCTTGTGAAATTATCGGTAATTTTTATGCATTTGTGCACAAACCGAAACATTTTCTTGACTTTGCAAGGTCAGGGAATGTGAATATTGTATTTTCAGTAGATTTTTTGAATAACACGTGGTCACTATATCGTCCTATTCAGATATATCATAAGTGTTTGGATAATTCGTGCCAATTTCATCGAAATTCATTAATAATTTCTGAGCTAATGATGGAAAATCACCCCGACAGGCTTCTGTCAATATAAATCTGAATCACCCTGTGTAATCCGTCCTTCTGAAATACATGGTGAATTCTGTTTCGATTTTTCCACACTCATGATGACAAGCACAAAAAATTACATTTTGCTACGTTTCTCTGATAAACATTCATTTCAGCAGATATGGTTTCGATACAGAACTCTTGTCACAGAAAAGAGTAAGCAGGATGTACAATTATTTGAAAATGAGAATGATTTCGTCAAGATTATGAGTAATGAAAAAAAAAAAAACAACTCCCAATCCATCAACACCTGTGATTTTCGGTAAATGAAATTAATATAAACTGATGGACAATTGAAGTGATCCAGTTAATTATTTCACACACTTTCAGAATTAAATATGTTGTTTCATATGTATGAAAGAAAGCATTTTTAATATTTTGTCCATATTCTTATAGAAGAATTCAAATTCAGGGATATTATAATTGCTCGACGTGTTTTGAAGGACCGAATCAGCACATCCAATTTTTTTTTCGAAAGAATTGATTTTTTTTTCATGATAGATATCTTTCTGGATTTAAAACGAGATTCAGATCGTTCATTTGTGGAATCGATGGTAAAATGGGAATAACTCTTCAATATCGATTGAATATTAATTTACAGGATGATTAAAATGTATCATAGAAGAAAGCAGTACTTATTTCACACGAACACTCAATATTACATAATTCTTGTATTTTGATGTATTTCTTCATTTTTACCTCATTCTTGCATATGATATGAGTAGGAAAAAAACGAATATGTTTTGTGTCATTGAGATGTCTTCTGAAAAAATATTGTTTTTGGTAAGGGTTCGACATTTTGCCATATAGATGTCTCATCTTGAAACTCAAGAAGTAAAAAGAACGGGGTGGTCCACCATAAATTCTCCTTTTGTTACTTTCATGTTCTACGAAGATTATTGTGAATTTTAGAAGACAGTTGGTGGGACTTAATGGAGCACCCTGTATATCCTCAGGAATCTGAATGCCATCTAGCTGGGTTCAACTATATTCAGTTCAAAATACTCATATCAGGTACTTTCTTAATAATCGCTTAATCATTGTTTGAGTAGGCAGGAGTAGAAGTTATTTCCTCTCGTAAAAAAAGAGAGGCAGAAGTCTCGTATTATTCCCTAGGGAGATAATGTGACATATTTTCTCCCTAAGGAGTTTATACCAACTTCACATATTCTTCATAGCTTTGCGCTCCCTTTTCGGAACACCCTTCTCTGAAGCGAGTATAAGCTGTATTATACAGATTCCTAGAACCATTTCCAAAGCTGTTTTCATAATTTTCAGTTTGATATTTGCTGTCACCATGGGTTTTCAACAAGATGCATGTTGTGAAGATACGAATTCCACAAACTATATTACTACTATTTATGACAAAACACTTTGACCTAATTTTTATTCTTTCGTTATTTTTGTGTTTTCGCCAGCGTAAAAAATAGTATACAGGGTGATCCACGGTGGATGGCCTATTAGAAGTATCTGGAGAACGAAAAGACAACACATTCTGAAAATTGAGATGCTTTGATAATTGAACATTCTCTATCCGTCTGAAATATATTCATCGATACAGTGTTGCCACTTCCATCAGAAACAACTAGCAACTTTGTTATTTCGAATGGGAAACCCTGTATTTTTTTTTCGTTTCTAGATTCTTCTTGAAGAGCTGATTTCATCAATGTATCACACTTGGAGTCTAGCAGGAATTATTACAGAGATATAGGGTGTTCAAAATCGAGATTTTTTCAATTTGAGGAATTTTTTGTGATGAAACTATTCATTATCGATCAAAACGGCTTACATGTCCCTATCTTAACTTTCGATTCACTATCTACTGATATTTAATTGGAACAGATACAGGGTGATCAAAATTCTGAATCTTGGACCATCCTGTATTTTTTCCAATTAAATTCCAGTAGATAGTGAATCAAAAGTTAAGATAGGGACATGTGTGTCGTTTTAATCGATAATTAATAGTTTCGACACAAAAAAATCCTGAAATTGAAAAATTTCGATTTTGAACACCCTATATCTCTGTAATCATTCCTGCTAGACCCCAAGTGTGATGCATTGATGAAATCAGCTCTTCAGAAAGAATCTTAAAATGCAATAAAATACAGGGTGATCCATTTGAAATAACAAAGTTGCTAGTTGTTTCTGATAGAAGTGGCAACACTGTATCAATGAAAATATTTTAGGCGGATAGAGAATGTTCAATTATCAAAAAATCTCAATTTTCACAATGTTCTGTCTCTTCGTTCTCCAGGTACTTCTAATAGGCCATCCACCGTGGATCACCCTGTATACACCTCAGGACAGACAGGAGAAAAATACCTTTCACAAATGTTGAGAATATACATGGTGTTTTCCTTGAGAAAGGCTGAAAAATAGTACAGATGAAACCTCACAACTTTTATATTATTGAAGTTTTTCTCCACCTCGTATAGTTGAAACTGTAGGTAAGGGGTCAAAATGAATAGAAATAAGAACAAAAAAAAACGAACCACTCCATAATCGAACTGGTATTTCAGATGGACCATCACTTCATTTGTCAATCAGTTTAGTTTTTGTTGTTGAGTGTTTCCATAGGCAATTGAAAAAAATCATCATCAGGATATCTAGAATTGGGGTACGGTTGTATTAAAAAAAAGCGTACAAGTATACAAAGAGAAATTAACAGGATCCGTTTTGCGTAAAAAGGGCTTTCGGAAATGACTGTTTACCAAATGTTAACAGTGAAATTGAAATTGGTTCTCAAAAATACGAAGCATTGACTGAGCCAGTTTTACACAACTAGATCTGGGATGTCATGATCCTCTCTTTTCAATACTTGTACACTTTTTTATTGAATACGACTGTACATTGTTGATGTTAAATCAGCCCATATTTTGCATATTGGGTACCGAGTTTTAGTTGCCAGTATTCCTGCAGGCAGGCCTTTAAGAATGCCACAATTCCATGTACAGGATGGTGGAGTGGGGTTCACGCTTTCAACACTCAATATCTCTGAAACTAAAGAGGATATCAAAAACTCCAAAAGAAAATGTTGAATCAGATGTTGTTTTCTTGTGAATAGTGTCCTCCAAACATTATATCCCCATTCCATATACAGGGAGTGAAAAAAATGTATTTTTTCTGAATGAAACACATTATAATATATTCTTCTGCACGTTTTGAAATTTTTACTGATTTCATAATTCTATAATTTCCATACATTCCATGGAGTAATACTGGGAGAATCGAAGGAATATAACTGGGATTGATTGAAATTGTGTGCATTTATTGAATTAACTACATCAATCAACTGATAATCGATATTTCCGATAATCTCCTGGTTTCAGCTCAACTTAAGTTGAGATCAGATAATTTCACGACGAAAATTCCTAATCTCAACTTTCATTCCTTTGGTTTACCCACTATTATCCCATGGAATGTATGAGAATTATTTATTTTTGAAATTAGCAAAAATCACTTCTATAGGAAAATTCAACATTTTTACATTTCATCGTACATGGAATGTGTATATGATATTTTGATGGCACCATTCGAAAGAAAATAACATCTGATTCAAGATTTTGTTTCGAATTTTCCAATATCTCAATTGGTTTTCAAGATATTGAGTGTTGAAAGAGTGAAATCCATATTCAATCACCCTGTATGTACATAGGAACATGACACAAGAAGGCAGAATTCATTTCATCAATCAATTATTGTAGTGGTTCATTCACACAATAATTCAAGTCGATGAAAATTTGCAGAAGTCAAAAATAAATTATCGATAAGATATCTACCTACTTCATAACCTCGGTATTCAGATTCTACAAGTCACAATGAATAAAGGTTCCCAACTTCCATTCCCTATCTTAGTTACAACACTTCAGGTTTGTCCTCGTTCGATAAATAAACAGCGGGAAACCATAGGAAGCAGTCGCAGTTCCACGAAACATGAGAAATACCATTAGTTCTGTGAAACTACGCATGCTCCTGAGGGTTTCGGACTGTTTATTTTTCGAAAGAGAACAAGAGTCATATCAGCTTCCGTCGTAGAATTTTAAATTTTGCCTGAACTTCTTTTTTTTTTTTCAATTGCTTTGGAGACGCTCAGTCACTCACCCTCTTAGAATTAAACCACACTCAAAATTCCCCCAACTCATGTAAACTCTGCAAACCTACACATTTTCCCTAGCGTTCGACCCGTATTTACAGCATCTGCAGAAAATATACCTAGTGAAGCACTCCGCCTCGGGGGGATTCACCTCTTGTCAAATCGGGCTGGGGTCGGCCTCTTTCAAGGTCATCGAATCCTTCAAGGTCACCGACTCCTCAGTCGCCATCTGCTGCAACTTGGCGATGCACTTGTCCACCACGTTGATGTCGTTACCCAAGGAGTTGTCGTTGCCCACGGAGTTCTGCTTGCTCGAGGAGTTCTCCTTGTTCAAGGAGTTGCCCTGGATCAGGGAGTTGACCTTGTCGATTTTGCTGGAAGAGTGTCTCTTACTGGGGGAAGTTTGTGGAGTTGCGCCACCCTTGATAAAAAGTGAATAACGTTAGTTTGAAAGGTGTGGTGTTCGTCAGGGTAAACAGTTTTTGATGGCATGAGGAAAACTATAACTGAAGATTTGCAATTCTGAAAAGAGCCGATTCTTGTTATCAATAATTCCACTTGTGATTATACTTATTTGAGCAGATATAAATGATGAGAGCGGAAAAATAAACCAAAGTTTGAAAATATGTTTTTTTCTGTGACGGGAAAAAAGTTTGGCATTTCATCTCTGTTGGCAGGTTATAAAATGTCACTTTTCATAAATTACTTTTTTCCCGTGGGAAAAAAGTGAGTACTTTTTTCCCGGATATGTATCACATATATATACTCTGTTAATGGCTTTTGTTGTGCTATAGTTCCGAAAAATGAGTCAATAATACCGTCTCCGAGAAAGAACTGCAAGTCCTTTTATCTTCCTTTCGACTTCGCGGTTTCGTATATTACTAAACAACTACTGAATCCGCAATTTTTTTAAATCAAATCACAGAATTGAACTGACAGAAGTGACATCAGATATTTGAGTACTTCAAAAGAATGATAAAGATGTCTATAAAACGCAGGTGTCCCAGCAAACATGTATCGCGCGGGCCTTTAGACGCCCTCCAAAAACTGCCGACAGTCAACATCAGCGGGCCACAATCATGATACATCGTCGGCCCGGCTAGCCCGTGTCGCACCGGCCGCTAGTAGGCCGCCCGACTATCTACCGACACTATTCGGTTAGAAATAAAAAAAAGATATAGTCGGGAGTCGGACTCGAACTTGCGATCGAACGGATATCCAATCAACTGTCAGACGCTTATACCACTAGGCTACTGCGAAACTTGAAAGATACTATTACGAATCCATCAGTCAACAGAATTGAAATAGTACAATACTTCAATTATATTTGATATTTGATCATATACGATATACCTATCATAACTTGTTGATTCGACGACGTAGAATAGGTTTAGTCTGATAATGTTCTAGCCACATTACTTTTCCAGTGTTTGATCTATTACTGTGAATCAAATATTTTTCGAATATAGGTAAAGAGCTGAACTTCGCATTGGAGCATCATTGTTATAATATAGGGTAATGAACAAATATTTAGCTCAAAATCATTACCACAAAAATGGATTGGTAGACAATAACGAGTTTAATTATTGTTATATAACATATATCATTATTCTTGATGTCGGACGATAGTTTGCTGGGATCAATCATAAAACTCACCAACTTTTTCTAAATAATATTAATATTATCACGCCGTTTAACAAATACCTGAAGACAAGTGACAGACAACTGACGCGATCTACGGACACAGAACTAAAACACGAAAATAAATTAGCAGTACTACCAATGCTCAAAAACCCAGTGATGCCAACATTGCGTTTGGTTCAGTTACCACTGACCTGTAAACAACATACATACTGCGTCAAAGCGACATCGGCACGATTGTCGGGAATTTTAAACGGGCAATTTCTGGCTGAATAACAAACATCCATTATAAACATGCGTACGTTCAGCCATGGCGGCAAAACCGATGTCGTTTCAACATTTTAACGACATAGGTGTGCCGCTGCCGACAACTAACCGCAGTTACCAGCAATCGGCCGCCTATTTACCGCTCAATCATGTTTGCTGGGGTCCCTACTGTTAAAAACTTGAAATTTCACGTCGATAATTTTCACATTTCGAAATAATGTAATATCTTCTCAATATTGATTCGTCCTTCCTCCTGTCACAGAAAAAAATAGTGTATTATACACGGGAAAAATATTAGATTTTAGCTCACGGTTTTTTGTCTCCCTACGCTACGCGTCGGGAGACAACACAACCTGGAGCTAAAATCTACTACTTTTTTCCCTTGTATAATAAATAACTATATATTGAAATTCATTCCATTCACTTCGTGGAATATCTGGCCACAACTCTCGATGAATTGATAATTAACCCAGTGAAGAAATTTTTACGGCATTCAACATCAAGCAATAAGGTATAGTTAACATTGTATATCATTCATGTAAGGTATACATCTTTTATTATGCCAGATAATTTGAAGCATCTGTAACGATATTATTTAAATATTTTTCAAAAAAACTAATATTTCAGACATGACTGCCTGTCTCGTTCTGTATCTGTCTATCTGAGTCTCTGTCTTCCTGCCTCTGTTTTTGCGACGTATCTCTGCCCTTTCTCTGTACATGTTTTCTAGTATCAATATACACTGTGTCCGTAAAGTATGGAACAAATTCGATATTTCCTAAACTGAAAGGTATTTCAAAAAAATCAGAAATACGTCAATTTTTGATTTTGATATTCTACATTTTACCACAAAATCTCATTCAACAGGGTGGTACACAAAGGTGAGGACGCCATCGACAATTTTTTTTCTAATAGAGGATGTTAATCAATCAGATAATCACATAAATAATTAAAGAGCTGAGTAGACTTCTACAATCAGATTTAAGCGAAATCAAGGTATTTGAGTTATCAAACCGTATGATATTGCTTCTACAGAGGAGGTAGACCTTTTTAGGTTGACCACTTTGGGCAAAGCCTCCCATTCGAGCTTCTACTCCTTCTCACCTAGGGTCCCTTGATGCAAACTGACGTATTTGTCATCTAACAGCAAAACTGCAAAAACGATTACCAACATGAATATACCTACATGAAATTTTTCACCATTTCTCAACCATAAGGCTTAGTCTGAAATCGAAATTCATTTATTGATAGGTACTGCCTAAGAACAGTCCCATTTGGTGAAACGTATTGAAATTTCAGAAAAATTTTCTCACTGCCTCACAAAGATTATGCTGGAGTTGAAAAATCAAAATTTCTAGAATCATCATCATCATTTGGATATAATATGCAGAGTTGAATGAAAAATCACATGCGGAAATTACGTATGATACGCCAATGTCCTCAATATAATCTAAGAAACAACAAATGTCAGTGTTTATCCCCAGAAATGAATCAAGATGGAACTATTCAGGATGTTTCATAGGTAAAGGGAAGGAGTCTTCATAACGGAGATACAGGGCGATTTATCGATTTCGAACAATTATTCATTCGTCTATATGTATTGACCAACCAAGTATATTTTTCTCAAATTTGGTAAGGAGCTTATACTTGGGACGTTGAATTAATTCACCTATCGGGCGGAGTGAAAATCCAGGTTCGGCTTCAGGAAAAACTTACATTTATTCGAGATATTAAAATAACACACTGTATTCAATAATTAACACAGTACATCAAAAGAATTGTGAAGAGGAGGAAAAACTGAATTGTGTATGATGCATTTTGTTTTCCCGCCACCAAATCTCAACGTAACAAATCATAAACAGGAAGTTGAAAGTATGTCAATTTGAAGAGTATTGGAATTATGAAACCAGTGTCTATTTGATATTTTGGTCAAAAATTCGCTCGAAAGAACTCACTAAGTCTCACAGTCTCCATAAGTCTTAAACTACCCAGTAACATTTTCTCAAATTTGGTAGGTATGTAGCTTACTTGGGACGATGGATTCATTAACCTATCAGGCGAAATGGAAATAATACCAAATAATTATAATTCGATAATTCACCCTGTATCTCTATAAAGACTATGAGACTTTTCCTAAAGCTGAACCTGTATTTTCATTCTGCCTGCATCGTCCCAAGTAAGCTCAATACCAAATTTGAGAAAATATTACTGCGATGGGTAGTCTAATACTTATGGACGAGTGAATAATTATTCGAAACCGATAATTCACCCTGTATCTCTGTTATAAAGACTGAGAGACTTAGTAAGTTCATTCGAACGATCATTCAACAAGAATATATCAAATAATCATAATTTAAAGTGGTTTCATAATTTCAATACTCTTCAACTTGACATACTTTTAGCTTTCTGTTTATGATTGTTACGATGAGAATTGGTGGCGGGAAAACAAATAGCATCAAATCCAATTCAGTTTTTCCTCCTCTCCACGATTCCTTTGATGAACTCTGTCAATTATTACATACAGTGTGTTATTTTAATATTTCGAATAAATGTAAATTTTTCCTGAAGCCGAACCTGAATTTTCACTTCACCCGATAGGTGAATGAATTCAACGTCCCAAGTATAAGCTCCATACTTATAGACGAATGAATAATTATTCGAAGTTGATAAATCGCCCTGTATCTCCGTTATGATGACTCTATAAGACCTATTAAATATGGTATTTTCAGAACCACCTTGGTGACCCCTATCTGCCATTGGAATATTTCCCTTCATCTGCGAAACAACCTGTATAACTGTTTCACAAGCCTTTCAGAGTGAGAGGAGACGAGGATCTGTCCGTACCTTGTTAAGATGACAAATACGTCAATTTACATCAAGGGACCCTATTCTCACCATATATATGTACTATTTCTATATATGCCTCATCACCTATACGATATCTCAACAAAAATGGGACCAAAATGAGAGGCACTTTTTGAATCTATAAGGACGGAAAGTGAAGGACGGAAACAGCCATATTGGTTTGACAAGTTTCGTAATATTTTTCCCTACGTCGGCATCAACGCCTATTGGTCGATTTCACTACCTATAGAGACAGAAGCTGGTGCCGCTTTAAGGACAACTATGATTCATATATGAGTAGTAGATATATGATTCTCACTTATCTCCAACTTCGAGTAGATTTTAACTCTTCTAAAACCATCGTCGTGAGTAAGATTCGACCATCTCCGACCTATCAAATATCCTGTAATGAAAGTAATATAGTCCACTCACCTTGAGACCGCTGAATTTCGGACTGGCGCAGTTGCTCCGCGACGTGGACGGCAGCGACCGGTTCTCCTCTTCGAAGCTATCCGCATCGGCATCGGAGGACCAATCCTTGCCCTTGCCCAACAAAGCCTTCCAGCCCTTCTTGTTGGCCCCCTTGGTCTTCGGCAGCGTGCTCGCCTTCTTGCAATCCACCACCGCCACCGGCTTCTTGTCTTTGCGGTGGCGGTGGTTGTTGTTGTTCTTCACTTTGTAGTCCGCTGATATGCCGAATCGATCCGCAAAATACCGGAAACGCGAATAGAGCGAACGGGAACTTTTCGTTTCCACCGACACTGGCACTTGCACTTCGTCTTGCTTCACTGCACTGTCACTTTGTTGGGTCTTCACGCTGTTCTCTCTGGTATTGTTCGGACACTTTGGCGGTTCATCTTCCGCGTCTTCTGTCGTCCTCGAGCAGTTGTTCATCTTCAGCTTCTCCGCGTTGCTGAAGCCCTTGAGGATGCTCTTCTTCTCGGAATGCTCGGAGTTTCTCTTGTTGAGGTTCAGGGTTTCCTTAGACATCACGCACTCTCCCTCGTCCTGTTCGTCTTCAGAGTTGTCGGATTGGTTGGCCAGCCTCTCTTCGAACTTCTTCTTCAGCGTCTGGGAGTACTCGTTCAAGAACTCCGGGGGATCGAAGGAGAGCTTCTTGTTGCCGACTAGGCAGTGCTGGTCGAAGCTCAGCCCCCCGCCGCACCTGAGCTTGCCCTTCTGGACCATTCTGGCGATCTCCGAATGGTTCAAATGTTGGACTCGCTCTCTGCTACCCTTTCTGGAGCCGGGGTAGCTTTTGCGGCCCGTGCTTGGTAGGCTGCTTTCGGTGGATATCTTGAACTTGAGCGTCTTTTCGGATACTTCGACTTCGTTGGCCGTTTCTTCGGAGTCGCCGCTCTCGGGGTCTTCTTGCACGTCCTCGAGGCTTTGGCCTTCGCCTAGTATGGCGACGCCCTCGGTCTCTGTGGTTTCTTCATCAGTCGAACGGGATCTTGGAGGCAACAATATTGATTATTAAAGAACAGCACAACTGTAATTTCCACAAACATTCAAAAAAACAGACAATACATAAATGAAATAAAATACTCCGAGTTGGTTGACCACACTTTATACAGTGTGACCCACTTCTAATGGAACCACCCCTGTATCTTACGTAATCGTTGGGTAAGGATCCTGAAATTTGCTGGAGCGAGAGATATACCAACAATGCACTCTATGGCCAAGTGGGGTCATCTTCAGTGATATACCCTGCTCGCCAACAGCCATGAAACTACCCAAATTTCCGGAAAATGATATTAGGAGTCAAAATAGGTCGAAAGGAATCAGGACGCCCAATTTATTAACTATTTAAATTTTTTCTGGAAAATTTTCAGTTCGGAAAAATGAAATTTTGTCGCATTTTTTATGGAAGCACCCCCGTATCTCACGTAATTATTGAGGTAGGGTTCTGAAATTTGCCGGAGGAAGATGTCCAAAGATGAAGTCAATTACGTGAGATACGGGGGTGCTTCCATAAAAAATGCGACAAAATTTCATTTTTCCGAACTGAAAATTTTCTAGGTCACTTTCAAATTAAAAAGATTGTTTTTGATATAAAGTGTGGTCGACCGAGTTGGAGTCTTTCCTTTCATTTATGAATACTGTTAGGCCACTTTGAGAATGGATGATTTTCATAGTTTGAACAAACAATAATGGTATATGACGGGGAAAAACGGGGAGGGGGAACCACGAATTTCAATATAGCTCCGCTATAAACTGGATAATAATGATAATAATAATGGATCATTCTCGTTCCGATCACGTCAGCTTACTGATGGACAATTATTTGAAGAATCTGGAAGTATAAAATGAGATAGGTGCGATAATTTTCTTGAATTGAATTCACTACCGATTTGACAGTCGGTAACGAACGACAAGCTGTCATCAGAACATCGTTTATAGACGATAGCTATTCAGAGTATCGGTGGGATAACATGAGAACAAAAACAAAAACATCCATCGGTTTTCTGTTAGAGATGGATCCAGTCAGTATTTTCAAATTTACAAAAGATCACATGTGTTCGTCTCACTTTTGATTCACTATCTACTGATATTTAATTTAGACGAATACGAGGTAGTTCAAAATTAAGAATCATGAACCGTTCAAATAAAATATCAGTAGACAGTAAATCGAAAGTAAAGATAGGGACATGGAAGCCGTTTTGACCAATAAAGAATAGTTTTGACACAAAAAAATCCTGAAGTTAAGTCTCAATTTTGAGCATCCTATATCTCTGTAATCATTCCCGCTAGACACCAAGTGTGATGCATCGATGAAAGCAGCTCGATCTTCAGGAAAAATCTGATAATGCAATGAAATAAATTCGAAAATCGAGAGTTGATGCCCGTTACGCTTCAAGATTTCAACTTTGGAATATGATAATTGCAGAAAAATGTGTCCCCGGTCGAATTGAAATCGACCTGTCCGAGCGATTTTCAATTTTATAAACGACATCGGAGATTAGGGGGTGACAAGTCTCAGCTGGGACACACTGTATTCAAACAAACTATACCTTTTCAACTTCAATTTCGGAAAAAGTAATCTCGATTTCAGAATTGGTTAGTTCGATTTCAGAAATGGTAAACTCAATTTCAGAATCGGTGAGATGAATTTCAGAAAAAGTCCATTCTATTTCAGAAATGGTAAGTTGTATTTCAGAATTGGTAGGTTCAATTTCAGAAAAAAAATCTTTATATTTGTTCGAAATGTTTCCAATTGTATGTGAGATTAACAAACCATATTTACAATATTCAACTTGTCAAAAACAATTCAATAACATAATTATAATCTCAATTTAATCCACAGATGCCTTCCATCCGAATCGCTGGAAGATAATATATAGCATTGCACATGATTATGAGAATGCAAACACATTTGAGGTGTTATCATTTTCATTGAATGATCTGCACATTCCTCAAGTCATCGCAGTCTAAATTCTTTCTGGTTGAGCAATCTGTTCGGATCCCCAGCTATGACCCTTTGGCGATGCTCTTGCAAGAAGCTCTTCACTTCTGACTTGAAGACACCCCATATATGTTCAATCTGATTCAACATAGGGCTCTCAAACACCGTTCATCCACTGTAAACACTCTTCTCTTTTGCAATTAAAAACATTTCAAACATATAAAAGGATTTCATCTTCTGAAATTGAACCTACCAATAATAATTCTGAAATACAACTTACCATTTCTGAAATTGAATGGACTTTTTCTGAAACTCATCTCACCGAATCTGAAATTGAGTTTACCATTTCTGAAATCGAACTAACCAATTCTGAAATCGAGATTACTTTTTCCGAAATATAACTCACCGAATCCGAAATTGAAGTTGAAAAGGTATAGTATGAGCGAATACTATATATTTATTGGGTGGAAAGAGAGGTCTTGAGTTTTCCTGCGATACTAATGACAAATCATCTACTCGACCTTCGAACAACTAATTGAAAATAATGTGGCAGATACAAGCCATTCAGGTCTCTCTAATTGTTTTTCTCTTCACGCATCTGAACCACAAATGACCAAAGGAAATTCCACAGTCGAAATTTTTTTCATTTAGTTCCAACGCACTATGCCCCTGGGAAATTCTTTGAATTGCCAGGAAATGCAAGAAGGAGCGAACTCGAGATGGAAAATTGAGAACTGAATGGACCTTAATAAGAAACAAAGCGATTCGTGAATGTTTCGTATCAACAAAAATGTTTTTGAGCATTTACATACCTAAGAAGATAATTTTTTATCATAAAAGATAACAGAAATGAATGTACAGATACTTCCACTAGTTCCACTAGCAAAACCAGTGAGAAAAATTCGACAAACCTAGTCGGCATATGTCGAGCAACTCTCTACCCGAACTCTTTCGGAATTCTTGTTTTTTGCCTAGATATGAATTTCAAATAACTATACCGCTTCGCCTCATGAGAAAAATTTGGCTTGTCAATAAGTGTCACTTTTGATCCTAATAAAATGGTGTATAATTTTTTTGGAGAACAATTCATCACAATGAAAAAACTTTGTCGTCGTTAAACGAGAGCATCTACCATAGTTGTTCATTTCATGAAAATTTGTGGAAATGACTGCCATTTTTTTTTCAGAATTTTCTTATCTCTCCTTCTGAACAGATACGTTTTGGTAGTCAAATAGAAACAAATCAAGACAGTCGCATACCAAAATTCCGGAACAAGATTGTTGACGTATAGATTCTTGCCAAATCTACAGGGTGTTGATTATTTGCCTAAAATACAAGGTGTGAATCCTCGGGTGATTTTGAGAAGAAAAGTTTTCATTAAATATGTATCCTAAACCTCTAAGTTTTTGTGCAAGAAGGTGTTGAAATTTTGAGGCAACAGTGATTTTTTTATCATAATTTTTTATCAATCTTAGATATTTTTATGAAATTTTGAAGACACTTTCTCATCATGAAGAAGCATTTTTTGACGTGAACATTTTTTGAAATTTTGTGTGACGTCGTTACGGGGTTTGAACTGACAATTTTTCAGGGAGAGAATGGTACGCTACTGACTTACAAAAATCGAAATTATTTTCGATCTCTAGACTTTTTTATGCATTTTCGCGTGAGAAAATGAAAACTAAAAGATGTTTTTCCTTCGATTCATTGAGATTATTTTTGGTATTTTGTTTTGGGACGGATATCATTTTTTTTACTTTCACCAGTGATGTTCACGAAGGCCTGATATTGAATGTTTTAAATAAAAAAAATGTACGCCTCTGATTTTCACACCCACTAGCTCAAAAACTATGAGGTTGATGTCATATGTTGATAGACACACTTCTCGCCTGGTATTATCGGTACTCAATTAATTAACACCTTGTATAGGGCATCAAATTATAAGTACCAGAAAATGTACCTATATTCCATATCGACATTTTTCGAAGATAATTCCATTTAACTGAAAATGGAATATGAAACCACACAGTGAAGATTGCAATTATGAATCATCCAGTACTGCCCAATATGCTGTGTTTAAACTTCAGATGAAGAGAAGCAATCTCCAATTCATTTGCACCGCCAGGGCAGTTCAAAGTCACCAGAATAAAACAATTTTTGCACTTCTAAAAAGTAAGAACTCAGTCATATCCAGAAAAATAGTAATGTTAATGACGGAAGAAAAACAACTACTTTCCTAGCTAATGCTAGATTTTTGGAGGATGTCATGTTCTTAGTGAAATTGAATGTTGTTTATTTTTTTAACATTCGTGGAAATAACAAGTATTTGCTTCTTGTAATCATATCATTCCACTTTAAACATTTTGGCTGTTCAGTAGTTGAATTTCTGTGTGATATTGTCTCGACTATTCTCACCTGGACCGGGTTTGTTGGAAGCTCAAGCTCTTCTTCATCTTGATGTTGGCACTGGAATTGGACTTGGACAGGGCGTTGCCGCTGTCCGGGCTCTGAGTCGTCGGACTGTGCTGGTGGTCGACTAATTCTACGATGCTTTTGCGGTGCAGTCTCTCCTCCCTCGTTGCTTCATTGAGTCGTCGGTAATAGTCGAGAGCATCGCGAACCGGCTGGACAATCAGATCCTGCGAAATAAGAGATCCAAGAAGTTATCCGACCACTACATTAGAGCCTAGCCATAGCAACACTATACGGGAAATATTGCCACGGTGGCAAGTCAAGAGCGTATAAAATTGTTTTGCCAGAAGCGTGGTGGTCATCAGAGTAGTGTTATTCCTTCCATCTCCGAAGATGTATCCCTTGTTATCCAGGACCTCCCCTCTCTCACAGGAGAACAAGGTCCTGGTGTACAAGCAGATCATCAGACCTGTGATGACATACGCGTGTTCAGTGTTCTGCAGGTCTGCAGCATCTCACCTACTCATATAAATAGGTTACAGGTACTGCAGAATAAAGTACTCCGTATTATCACCAATGGTGATAGATACTCTCGAGTGGCAGATCTCCACGAGAGATGTGGTTTTTTTGCCCAGAATCAACGAATACATTCTGAAAATAGCCAACAGATTTTTCGAATACCACATCACTGGAAATGACCTTACCCGGAACATCACAACACTTAGACAACACCATGACATCCACAAAAAACACGGGCTGATATATGCATCAACCGATGTGTTTAGGGAGCCTGATGATCTATAGTCGGGAACCTCCCCGGATGCTCGGACATGTCCGAGCCACCGAGGAGACTCTAGACAGCACTATCTCTCAAGCATGAAAATAACAGAGTGTCAATAAATGACACTGAACTCGTACAGTAGTGCCCATGTGGAAACACATGCGCAGAACTGCCCGAGACAAACAAGAAGGAGGTTTTTTAATTTTTTCAATTTAATTTTTCCTCCACCGCCCAAGAAACCCTCTCCACTCTGATCGCGCACGAGCAATTCCCCCACCCCTTTGGGTACCATCAGCGAGATTACCTATATAAAGGGCCTAGCCCTAAGAGATAGGTCACTGCGACGAACACCTCGCATATCCTCTCATATTCCTTGGCTAACACCAGCCCCCTCTGCGTCAGTGGAGGAACGTTCAGGCATTCCCAGATATGCCAAATCTTTTATGTCAATATGATTGAAATATGTGATGTTCTGTATTAACACTGAAGATGAATAAATGAATTCAATACTTCCTCCGAACGAAAAGACCAGGGTTAGATCCCTACTCCAGCTGATCTTTTTTTTTAAATTTTTTTTTCGAAGTAATTAATCGAAAAAATACTTCGGAGGAATTTATTGGTTGGGCCGATAGTGATTCGCTATTTAATTATGTTTCTTCTCAGGATCGGCCGAAAATTTTCAGTTTCTCGCACCCAGCGAGCATCGAGCGAGGCGCAATATTACCTCGCTATGGTGCTATGGCTAGACTCTGGTGACCACTACTGGTACTGGTGGGGGACGTTTGCACGTCAGTAACTAGTCCCTAACGGGACCTTTCTGCAAGCCCCAACCCCAAGGTGTTTTTTAATGAGTGATGTGGTTCGCTTAAGAGAGCTGGCTAACATCCTTTTCAGGTGCCGCCCATCAGCTCGCTTTCTGAGTTTTTCGGTTGTTTGGTAGCCTAGTAATGTAGGTACTTACTACCATATGCTGCAGTTCGTTTTGGTCCATCGCTGAAGCAGTCGAGATAAATTTGACTAATAGTTAATTCCCGCCACTCTTGAAAAACGACGGCACATTGGTAACAACATCGCAAGAGGAAGTAGATATTTGTATAGCAATGTTTGCAGCCAACTTCATCCCAGATTTATATCAATTTCATGTAATATTTCCACGTATTCGCAATATGAACTAGAGCTGAAAATATTGTTGGAGAAATTTGAAAAAATATAAATGTGAATGATATGTATAGGATTCTATTATAATTTCAGCGAGAACACAAAATGGCTTCGATGCATGTCAGGTCAGAGCTGACGACTACACTGAAAAATATTCAGTTTTTTCATGATAACTCAAGCAATATTGTATACATCTGTATGGAATTTGGTACACGTCTCATATGCATTGAGGTGCATTTTTTGATGTACGAAAATTTTCATTTTCTCTTCCAGTGGCACCGTTACGGAAAAATTCTTGTTTATATTTTACTTAAAAGTGAGCAACGACGAGAAATTTTCAAATTTGATACAATGCTATAAAAGGCTATTTGATTATGTGCAAAAATGATCCTCTTGTTGATACTCGATAGAACGCTTCGTTTTCGAGGAAAAACGGAAAAACGAGACCAGACTTCAAATTTTGATGTTTGAGTACTCCATCCAGGACATGCATTACTGGATAACCACCGTATGTAACAATTTGAAATTTTTATATCGATCGAGTCACATAGCAGACTGAATTTTGCCATCACGAAAAGCTTTACAGGGTGGACACAAAAATAATCTATGCATATTTCAACATCGACACCCTCTATCTCAAAAGTTAGGACGTTTACGACATATTATGTTCATAGGAAGTTTTAATCTTGAAATGGGCCGAAGAATCGGCCTCTTGAATATAAGCATATCAATAAGGAACACCCTGTATAGGTATGCACTGGTACGCGCCACTTCCGTGACTTTACGTCCGTCATTTTAACAGACTTTGGACGGACATTGCAGGAATGAACGTTATTCTCACCTGCAGCTCCAAGAAGAGGTCGCCCAGCGCCTCGAACAGCGGCAGCAGCACGAACCCGATGAACGAGCATTGCGACGACGGCTTCGTGATCTTCTCCCTGTCCATGAAGGGCGTGACAGGGAGCCCTTCCAGTTTCTCCGCGTCGCTCTGCTTGAAGAACTCCTGCAGCAGCTTGTCCAGCCACGGCTCGGCGATGTCCATAGGCCGGGCTTCGTTGGATATGTCTGACACTTTTATTAGGACCATGCATAACTGTGAAACATTGGAGATTATTTAACATCGTGTTGTGGGAAGATTGAATCAGAACACTGCGAACCCGAGTAGCGGAATTCTGATATTCAATATCCAATTATTGAAACTTTCTGAAATTGGATTGACAGTTATGAAATTCGATTGGAACCCGAGTAGCGGAATTCTGATATTCAATATCCAATTATTGAAACTTTCTGAAATTGGATTGACAGTTATGAAATTCGATTGGAACCCGAGTAGCGGAATTCTGATATTCAATATCCAATTATTGAAACTTTCTGAAATTGGATTGACAGTTATGAAATTCGATTGGTACCTACTTTCTGAAATACAATCGATACTCTCTGAAATTCAATTGATGCTTTCTAAACTTGATCTGGCTGTTCTAAAACACAATTAATGCTTCCGCTTGCAGGTCCTTCATTGTCTTTTAAATAGAAAACCATATTTTTCTTTCAACGATTACAACTGGAGAGCAATAGTAAGATTGACTACGGCGGATGACATCCGTCACCAGCACCTCCTGGTAAATGATTTCTCTTTCCTTTTGGGAATATCGTCTGAATGATGTACACTAATTATTCAGTTCAATATAATGCTGTGCTAGTTTCGTGGTTGGTTGACACAGCCATCTTCAACTACATCAGAAAATTCAGCAAGTGATGATTCATATTCCTCGACAGATTCCATGAGGAGTCGATCATACTGTATATTCACACGCTTGTTTTGGAAGATCCTGTTCGACAATATTGCGCCCAACGTGGGGAAATGAATTAATCAGGATTGAAAGAACCGTACCCAAGTTTTCCTTTTCCATTATTCGAAATTTCAATGAACATTCTCTACAATGGAACAATCATCGAGATGTTCGGTGTTGAAAAACGAGTATGAATCCAATAAGGTCCTTGGTACGTCGTGAATCAGCAGGGCCGCAGTCATTTCGGATAAGGATAAATGACGTGCGACCATTCTTCAAATACATCAAAAACATCAGTAGTGAATGATTCATATTCCCCGGAAGATTCCATGAGAAGTGAATCATACTGTACTGCATACTGCAATATTCATTGCTATCACCAAGATGTTGGTGAAAAACGAGTATGAATCCAATAAGGTCCTTCGTACGTCGTGAATAGCAGCAGGGGCGCAGTCATTTTGGATAAGGATAAATGACGTGCGGCCGTTCTTCAAATACATCAAAAACATCAGTAGTAAATGATTCATATTCCCCGGAAGATTCCATGAGAAGTGAATCATACTGTATATTCACAGGCTTGTTTTGGAAGATCCTGTTCGACAATATGGCGCCCAACGTGGGGCAACGAATTTTTCAGGATTGAAAGAACCGAACCCAAGTTTTCCTTTCCCATTATTCAAAATCACAATGGATATATTCCACAATGGAACTGCAATATTCATTGCTATCACCAAGATGTTGGTGAAAAACGAGTATGAATCCAATAAGGTCCTTGGTACGTCGTGAATAGCAGCAGGGGCGCAGTCATTTTGGATAAGGATAAATGACGTGCGGCCATTCTTCAAATACATCTGAAAGTTCAGTAAGTAATGATTCATATTCCTCAACAGATTCCATGAGAAGTTCATCATACTGTATATTCTTAGGCTTGTTTTGGAAGATCCTGTTCGACAATATAGCGCCCAACGTGGGGCGATGAATTTTTCAGGATTGAAAGAACCATACCCAAGTTTACCTTTCCCAATAATCGAACTCTCAATGGATATATCCCACAATGGCACTGCAATATTTATTCTTATCACCGAGATATTCAATGAGAAACGAGGGCCGCAGTCATTTCGGATGAGGATAAATGACGTGCGGCCATTCTTCAAATACATCAGAAAATTCAGGTAGTAATGATTCATCTTCCTCGTCAGATTCCATGACATGTTGATCAAACCTTTATATTCACAGGCTTGTTTTGGAAGATCCTGTTCGACAATATGGCGCCCAACGTGGGACAATGAATTTTTCAGGATTGAAAGAACCATACGCAAGTTTACTTTTCTCAATATTCGAACTCTCAATGGATATATCTCACAATGAAACTGCAATATTTATTCCTTTCACCGAGATGTTCGGTGGTGAAAAACGAGTATGAATCCAATTAGGTCCTTGGTACGTCCTGAATAGCAGCAGGGCCGCAGTCATTTCGTATAAGGATAAATGACGTGCGGCCATGCTCACGGTTTACCAGATATCGTCCACTAAATCTCCTGCTACTGACGTGTTCCCTAATAGGGATGAATCGCCTTTGATGTGCGGCAATCTAATCAGGTTACTGGCGACGTGTTGAGGCGGGATGTAGTGCGTTCTTCGAAGGGAATTACAACGATGGATGATGATATTTCTCTCCATACCACTATTCAGTGCTTGGGATATTTCAGGAGTTCCATTTCAGGTCCCACAAATATTATTGGACAATTTCGTCGAATTATTTCTCAACAAGAAGAAATTGCAAAAGTAATTGCTCTAATTTCGAGTTATAATTCGAAATTAGTACAGGATGTTCCTAGATTTCCGATAAGAACAAAACCCCGTTATATTTTAGAGAGGAAAGATGAGAAATCGACAATCGGTATTGCGACAATATGGACGTACTAATTTGATTTTCTGAATTGGCAGAGAATGAAAGAAGCATGATTTACCCGCATTATACAGGCTTTTCCGTCTCAACCACACATAATACGTATTTGGAGTTCTAAGAAAGATACTGATCTGAAAAATTTAATACAGGGGATTTATCCTACGAGAAATACCTCCACTTGCAACCCTTGAGGAATTTGCTCTCAATTTTTGTGTGGGACTTCCAGTATTTTTTTCTCTTTTTCATCTGATATTCATTCAGAATTTTTCAATGCTCACCAAATTGACGTGTGCCTTGTCATCATAATTGAACGTGGGAGTGATATCTTTGAAGTTGGTGAGTATTTCATTGTGCCTAGCCATATCTGTGGCCAGTATACACCTGATCATGCCCTCTCTGACTTGCTTGAAGTCATCGCTGCAGAACGACTTGAAGATGTTGCAGTCTTCGTTCTCCAATAACCTGAAAAAATATTTCGAAATTCAGATTCAACCGATTCCTGAGTAAATAATAGTATTGATCAGCATCATAATTACAAAAATTAAAATTTTGACAGAAGAATCATAATTCCGTGAATCTCCAGATACCAATTTTGAATAGAATTGAATAGTAATCACAGAACCCATCCGTCATTTTCAAGCCACCATTTCGTGTTGTTCCCTCTAACAAAAATTTCATCATGTCACCAGAATTAAGTACACCGGCCAAGTTCCAAATCGATCGGACGATTAGAAGTGTGTCATATTTATCTTGCTAGATTCGATTACAGATAGACACACCGGGACAGATGGAAAAAACTTGTAAAAACGCTTCAAATCCGCGCACCGTCATTCTTTGATGTACGGTAAAGCGACTGAAATAATTTTTCAAATATTACGGGAACGCACAAAATCAATTTTTCTCTCAATGTCAGTAATTTTCTTTCGAGCCCAAATTGCCGCAATTCCTATAGCAATAATCAACCACTTGAAATTTCCATGTTGACGAATCAGGAAAAATATTGTTACGATGAAGCCTGGGTTCGGTTTTTCATAATCACTCATTAAAATATCCAAAAAGATCCATCAAACCACAAGCACTACAATACAGCATCACAATAACTATACGTTTCTTTCTAATATAACTAACATCTTTAACTGATTTATCAATCAGCTATGGATTTCTTAATATCTTACTAATACTCCCCCCATCAGGCTACCTGCCGCAATTTATATCTGAACTGAGATAGCAAGAGTTCTAGCATTTCCATAACCTTCCGAGGGCCTTGGACAATCTCACTATTATTATTTTAAATCATACAATTCACTAACAGAATTACAACATGACATCGACCATTACTGCTATGCAACGCCTGTGAAAAGAAGCTTTTGAAAATCGAACACACTGTACAATTTTACGATCATTCTCGCGCCATCGACACTTTTAATCACAATATCTTGATGAAAAAACTCGAGCATTATGGGGTGAGTGGCAAGCAGCTGAACTTATTCAAGTCTATCTCACGGATAGGAAAGCTGGAGTCATATGGCAAGACGGTGTAGCCGACTTTGTAACAACAGAGCACGGAGTACCTCAGGGATCAGTTTTAGGACCCGTACTTTTCATTATCTATGTCAATGATTTGATGTTCAACTTAGTTCATGTTAGTGAAGGTATACATCCTATTGGGTATGCTGAGGACGTGCCTATAATTCACTGTGATCAAATTGAAAGAATCCTCAATGACAAAATGTCCAACACTGAACAAATTATTCAAATTTGGAATAAGAGAGAATGATATCATTGAATATAATCGGATCCTCATTACAAAATCCGCCATTTTGGATCTGCCATCTTGAATTTCTTAATTTTGACGAAACAATCATAATCTCCGATCACGGAAACCCCTAGGTACCATTTCTGAGAAGAATTGGATTATAATTACATAACTTGTCCGCCATATTGGTTCCGCCATCTTGAATTCCCAAATTCGGTTCGAATTTTCAAATTCTGACGGAAGAATCATAATCTCCGACCCCGAAAACCTACAGATACCAATTCTGAATAGAATCGGACCATAATTACAAAACTCGTCCGATATATTAGATCCGCCATCTTGAATTCCCTAATGGTATCAGGATAAAAAGTATCCTATAACCTTCTCCTGGTTCTAAGCTACCTCCCCACCAATTTTCAGTCAAATGGATCCAGTGGTTTCGCAGCCAATTCAATACATACAAACAAACAAACAATTAAATCTTTCCTCTTTATAATATTCGTATAGATGAATATTTTCATTGTTTTTAATCTGTACTCATGGTATAATCAAATATGAACTTGTGAAAATTTATTTTCGTTTGTTCACCTATTTTAGTTTTCTAGTTTTTGAGTTGACCTGTCACAAATATACTAATGGGCGTGTACACCTCAGTAGAACTTTTAACTCAAATCATGTTTATGATGATCCTTCTATACATAAATAATGATTGACGACATAATTCGATTGAAAAATTAACTGGAATGTTTTATTTTCGGACATAAATAATAGTACCTTCTAAAAACGGACCCTCTTATGACGTAGAAACCTCATCTCACCATAGTTAAAAGAAAATACCAAACGCCCGACGGTGACTGAGGCAACTGATATATTAATTCTTTCATCTGTGATCTTGTCTTTATTCACTCTGTCAGAAATCATGTATCATTCATCTCTGTCTGGAATAGTCTTGTTTCAGTATTGGGGTTTTGACGTCACATCATCGCCTCGTTTTCAGAGGTCCGAAAAATCGAAGATTTCAATAATTTTTTATGAAACGTAGGGAGCTCACAGCAAGAAACGGTTTGCGGTGGTGAGCTAGTTTGGGTGAGTTCTATCGAATTATGAAATAAATTTTTGTGATATAAGCCCATTGTATGTATGTATCTATCTTGTTATGTGTGCACTCACCGGAACGCCACACTGCAATGGTGATTTTCCAAGGGCGATATGTCGTTGTACCTGATGGCCAGCTCGGTCTTGGCATTGATCTGGTAGATGTTGTTGTACCCGGGATGATCCAGATCGTGGCAGATGCAGGAGGTCAAGAGGATGAGGACCTCCAGATCGCCGATCTTAGAGGGTAGATCGACGCACCATGAGATAGCGTACAACTAGAGAAGAAGCATAAAACGAGTCCAGTTCAGTATAGTTGGATATTAGGCACTAAAGGCCCAAACACAATGCAAGAGAATAAGGAATAGGAATAAGGAATATTAATCCTTATTCTCTATTCCTCCACATTGTGTCCCGACCTAAATAGATTCTCACTATATGTTTTTTTTTTAATAAATTTATAGATACTAATATAACGAGATTATTATGCGAGTTTTAATAGTCAAAGTCATTGCTAGGTGACAAGGCGACAGCCGAGTCAACCGCAATGTCCGTGACTATTCGAGTTCAATTTCAATTTTCAATTTATTCAGAAAATAAAGTGTACAGATAATATCGATAACATATTACAAATCTTGGTGTTCCTTTTGGATCATAAGACTGCACCTAAGCATGCTGCATGCTTGTGTTGTACTAGTCTTTAATCCGCAAGAAGCATTCTAATTGTACAACTTCCATATTTGGCGATTGTAGTATAATTAGCGAATATATTAGGTTATTTGCTTAGAATTTTGATGAATGAAATACATATTTGTGAGATTTGGTGAGTACTAAAAGAGTTATTGTTTCCATTTCGGGTGGTAAGAGGTTATATAGTTTAGGTCCGAAATAGTAGATATACCTTTGAGTGTGGCTTTTTCTGAATAATGGTGTATTGAGGGTGAGATTTTGTATTGCTCTGGTATTTTTTTTCATGACCTCCAATGACTGATTAAAACAAATTTGCATTTTGAAACATCCATTCTAGGCTTCTAACATCAAGTATATCTAGTTGTTTATATAACTGTACAGTTGAATGAAGACTGATTTTTTTGGATATTATTTTCAAAAGTTTGTTTTGCATAGACTGGAGTTGTATTAAATTATTGCGGAAAACACCTCCCCATGCTTTGATACAATACCGCAGTATAGATTCAGCCAAAGAATAATAGATTATCCTAAGAGTTTTGTTATTTAAAATATCTCTCAGTGTGTACATTTTTCGAGTCAGCTGCCTGAGTTACATTCAAAGCTCTATCGTATCACTGACAACGGCGATGCGAAAATAAAATCAACAAGGTTTTATGTCATTTCATTTTGGCATTTCATCATCAAAATCATGCAAGATTTTGATATTCCTGATGATATATCAGCTGCAGCCAACACTATAAGGTTGAGTTTGCTTCCGGACAAATCTAAAATCCAGTATGAAAAAGAATATCGGCAGTTTTGTGAGTGGCGAAACAAAGTACAAGTTCAAGATGCATTTCTTTGCAAATGAACCTCGAGACTTGTCAAAAATTAACACGATGAAAGAAATATTTCTGAAGGGAATATCTTTCTGGAAAAAAATAACTGGAAGTTGCCAGTCCGACATCTGAAAAGTTATCACCAAATTTGTACGGCAAGACGGTTGTTTGAAACACTTGCAGTTCACTTAAGATGATCAAAAACAACACAAAACGTGACTTACAGTCACAGAACATGCCATGCCAAGAATTATGAAAATCGATTTCAGCCTACTCTTTTTATGTGCAACATTATTTTTTTCCAAAAAAACTTCAATGCCTTGTACCAACTCAACGAGACGATTTTGGATATAGGTAAGTTGGCCTAAATCAACTTGATTTTATCCCAGGAGTCCACAGCCGAGCCATGTCCCAACCTTTTACAGACACCCTGTATATATGTATATAATATTTCAAAAATTGTCCCCCGTCTTTGATTCGGAATCATTTACGAAATATCCATGACCTCGAAAAAATTTCCGGAAATAATTTGACCTCTAGTGGTATAGCAATTGAAAATATTGTCACGATAGGAACCAAAAATATTTATAGCTACTATTAAAAATTATATTGATTCAAGATTCAATAATAATAGTATATTATTCAACGAGCGCATAATGATGGCTATTACCCACGAAGATGAAAGTTGCAGTACGAGCCGAAGGCGAGTGCTGTAATCATCTGAGTGGGTAATAGTCATTATGCGCAAGTAGAATACTATACTTTATCTACAACTATTCAAATATCAAAGCAACTCTGAGAGTTCAGAAATATATCTTTGGAAAAAATGAAGGATATTATATTGCAAAATCACCAAATCTGAATTGAAATACTCAATAATTTCATCGAAAACTTATCGACAAAAATTTCATTCAACGAACAGCTTGTAACTCATTTCAATAATTTTGATTTTGAAAATATGATAAATAATGTCGGATATAACTTTTATTAACAGGAAAAAAGTCGTGCAATCACATATCAGTCAATCTCTCAATTGTAAAATGAATCATACTATTGCAGATTATTCATTTACTTGCTTCCGCTGTAGCGTTCCCCCACCGCGATGATTAATTGTAGTACCCTGTCTCTAGAAGCTAGTCATCAACAATGAAATTCCATGGTTCTGATTGGTCTGTACTAATCTATTCAAATAGCCTGTAGCCATCTTAGTGTGAATAGTGTGAGCAAATCTGCAACTGTCAAGTGTCAAGTCCTATTTTATGGTTATGGTTACACATGATAGTAGTCACTGTTGAGGATGGAAAACAGTGAATTCTCATTTTTCCGTGTATTTGTATACAATTAAGGTGATTAAAACTATGAGAACCATGTAAGGTGAGTCTTTTAGTAGCACGACGAATACCTACCTAGTTGAATTTGACAAGACGATGGGATGTCAGATTATTACGCCACCCTACTGTCATTATTTCTCTTATTACTCGATTCATCACAATAATGTATGTCATTAGATGTCGAGAATCGAGTGAGCAATGTATGAATGACTCCATAGTTGTAGATAAAAGTTCATTATTCATTTTATCGTATAACATTCGATTAAAGGAAACGAGTATATTGTTTCACTCACGTTGGCAGCTCATTCAACCGGAATGAAATACCCGCATATGGAGTAAAACGCTGATACTATATCAAAATATACTGAATAAATATCGAACAGCCGATAAGGCAAGAGATCAGTTTGGATCTGATCAGCTAGCCTTCACTATGGTTCATCCCCTGCTTCTGCTAGAGATTATTTTGTAAGTACTACTGTCACAATCGTTATGTTGTCAAACTATTGAATGTTTCTTTTCATTGCAAAGTATGATGTATTTACGTTTGCATTGAATCTCGTTTTGTTAAAATCACTGATGAAACTAATTTCTTTCAATAAACTGTAGCTTTATAACGAACAATTGTTTTGATTTCTCGGCCTCCCTAGCGAGTTCACCCCCGAGTCACCACCCTGTAGCCATCATGGGTCGTGACATTATAACCACTGTAGTAGTGGCTCGTAGAAGTCATAGAACTAGGAAAATTCGAGCTACTTGCCATTTGTGTGACGCAGAAGCAGTGCCGGAAATTGTGGAATGGCACGTCGTTGTAGTTCTTGTACGCCTCGTAGAGGAAGCTCCTCAGCGTCGTGATGTCGATGGCGAACTTCGAGCAGAGGTCGTGATCGAGGTACATCTGCTGGAGGAGGAGGAGCAGCTCCTCGTCCTCCCAAGGTCGAGCGTCGAAGGTCGGCGTTCGCAGCCATTGCCGGATGTTGTCGGACACTTGAGCGTCACTGAAAACGTTGAAATCAGTTGGAAGTCTCGATAATCAGGGGCAAGGGTGTAGGTATTTTTTCTGTTGGGGGGGTGGGAGGTTTAAGGCAGAAATAGTATATTGTGCAACAAGTGGGGAAAGTTCAAATTTTCTCACGAGTGTGAAAGTTTGTGGCACGAGCCTGAAGGGCGAGTGGTGCAAACACACGAGTGAGAAAAGTACTTTTCCCCACATGTTGCACACTATATTTCTTGTACAACTGCAGTTATTCAAATAATTCAAAGTAATGTAAATATTGGTATTTATTTTATAATATGGCACTATGCCACATTGAATATTGTGACAAAAGAGTAGACGTCTTTCTTAGTTCCTCAAAGTATTTCAAAAAAGTACACTTTTTTTCAGATTCCATACATTTTTCGTATATGCCAATTCATACTTTTTACTTGAGAACAAATCCAATTTTCGCAGCTTTTTTCATTATCTCTGTCTCTGGCGGTGTATTCATCAAAATTGTCACATCGCGGTATCGCATTATTATGAAAAGCACTAATGAGAACTACCCTGAATAATTTGAAATACTTCTTCTGACAGTTGTGACAACAATTAAAAGCTGAACACCAGCCAATTAAGTTTTGGTCGATTTTTGTTGATTCTCCATGGAAATGTATGTGGTGTTGGCAAAGTGCCGTGAGAAAAAATATTTCTCACAGTATGAGCAATACATGGTTTTGAAACTAAGTAAGCTTTGAGAAATGCGCTTCTTTTCATAGCAGTAGTAGATAAAAGATTGTTTATATCATATAGAAAAGAGAAATGTACGGTACGGTCCTGCGGCATTCATTTCTTCTGTAAAATTCCTTAAAAAATAGCGGAGTATCTCTCACTTGTAAATCCAAATATGTTTTATACTGGTCACTGCGATAGAATATCTTCGGCAAATTCTCTTATCAATACTGGAGGAGATATATCAAACCTTCAGGAACTTGTTGGATGGGAAGGTTGCTAGAAGGTATTTAGAAGAAAGTGTGAAAGGAGTGCTTGCTCGGTCATTAATCAGGCTTCAGAGGAAATGCCTATGATCGTGCACGCTAATGGCAAAGGTGTATCCATCAAATTTGAAAACTGTCAAAATATTTCTTTACCTGGTTAGGAAAACTAGTTCTGATATAATTTTGTTTCTAACGTATTATGCTCTCGTAACGAACGTATGGTAACTAATAATTTGTCATTCTACCAAGTGATGCCTATCCTTTGCACTTTATTTCACCGTACTGATGAGGGCCGAGAGCCCGAAACACGTGATAATACGGTTATCTCTTTGTGCGGGCTATGTCCACTTTTCTCTTCCTAGCTATCTTTATTTATTTATTTTTTTTATCGCTTGAAGCGCACGAAAGGAAACCCCTATAATGTTCAGTTCCCTCGATATCACTTCTATAATGTATCATGAGTAACTAAGGTGATTGATTGGTTTTGTGGAAAAATCGAGGTGAATAATTGATTGATCTGAAAATTTGATTTTCTAAGTATTTTCAATCGGTTTTTCGGCTGGAATTATCGTTTGCCACAAGTTCTATAATCGAGAAGATGGGGCGTTTCTCTATTAAAAAAATATTTTTGCCAAACGAGTATACCGTCTCTCAATCTTTCAAACGGAGCATATCGGAACATCTGTTCCAAGGAATTCTTTCGGTTTGTAATATCAGAAAAATCAATTTCACTACTCACCAAATATTCGCAAAATTCTGTTTCACCCGTTTCTTCACCGAATCGCTTTTCCGTCTGTACTGAAGACGACGACATTCTTCGCTAGAAACAGGCTCAGGCAGCTGTTTGTAGAATCCTGAAACAAATCGAGACAGCGATGATCACAGGGTCATTCCATCATTTGCTAGGAGAGACAAAGGCTCCTATAAAAAATAAAAGCAATTTGAGAAGATTGTGGAATAGTTATTTGTTGCACTAGGCAGTAGAGTAGTAGATTGACTGCCACTGCATAGCCGAGCGTAAAAAAACGAAGTTGCTGGCATTTCAAAATAAATCGGTAGTCCGTTATATTGGATTGTAATGTGTTCAATTCTGTATAAAGCAGTCTCCAAAATCAATGAAATATGTAGACTTTGAAAACTGAAGTTTATTAATCAATCCTTTTTCCGTCGCACTCACGGTGACACTTTTTCAAAATACTTGGTGCTCAAAATTATCGCTCGAGAATATACAATATTCGAAATTTGTCCCCCCTGCTAGAGGAACTAATTTCCTTCTAGCTCTGAAAGACATAATTTTGTAACAGGCCGTCGATATCCTCCTGACATCGTCTTGACATCTACAACCCGTATTTTCTGGTCAGGTCCGGGGTAAACTTTCGAAATTTTTCCCAGCTTCCATTCATATCTAGGTGCGTTAACATCAACCAAAATAACAACATCACCCAATTGTATTGGTTTTTGATCTGTCATTCATTTATAACTGCGGGTTAGAGTTGGTGAATAGTCTTTCACCCATCAACGTCTCCAGGACGAATCCAAAAGTTGTCGAGACTCTTTCCTTCCCCGCATCAAAAAAGCACTATCAGCATTTTCGGGAAATGGAGGACTGTCGCCGTTTGAAGAACGAAGCAGAAAATGATTCGGCGTTAGTACTATAGGATCATTTGGTTCACTGGATACTCTAGTGAGAGGTCTAGAATTTACCAATAATTCTGCTTCTGCGAATAATGTCGCCAAAATATCTTCTTCAATCGGTTGTTGGTGCAATACATCGCCGATAGTTTTTTCACAGATGCTATGAGTCTTTTACATGCGCCACCCATGTGAGGTGAGGCTGAAGGAATGAACACAAACTGTATATTTCATGAGGACATGGCATTTTCGATGGCTGCCGTGTCTATCTCCTAGAACATCCTCCGCTGTTCTTTATAGACGCTCCTCGAAATTTAGTTTCATTATTGCAAAGAAGCTTTTCTGGTTTTCCTCCAATATATTTTTTTCATTTTGCGTACTCGTGTATATTCGTTATCCGTTTCTTTGAAACCCAGTGAAATTGCTCCATTGCCTTCCTTCAAATGACACCCATGAATGGACATCAGCCGAGATATCAGCTAACAGGTACGTTACGTTAAACGTTTAATATAAATTCCGGACTACTGTCGTTCATCAGAAAACTTCATAAGTTCAGTTGTTACGGAAGTTATATCGAACGTCAAAAGAATTATAGCTGTAAGGTAGAACAAGTACACAATATTGACGGCGATAGAAAACATTGCTATATTTCAAATGAAACAACATTAATTTTAGCGAGATCGCTCAGATCTCACACAAGAATTATTGAACCAAAAAACAAGTGAAAGGTGATTCATTATATACACATTATAATATCTAGGTGATGCAACTGGAAATGAAGGTCATTATCCCATTTATTCCCCTTTTTTTCCAACTAAAATCGATTTCATTGTTCTGGAACACCTGTATAAAGTGGGGGTAACCAGTACTGAGTTTAGAATTAATATTTCCTTTATTAGTTCATTTCATAAACATAGGTACACTGAATGACACTCAAAAAGGGTGTATCTCATCAGAATTTGCCAAAAAAAGATATATAGGAGTCAGTCATAATTTTTGTCAGTTACTCAACCGGAAAGATACATATATTGATGGAGATGGAAAGTCATGATTTCGAAGGACAATGGGAAATGAAAAAACTCCATCCGTCCCGCGTGAGAGTCGAACTCACAACCCCTGTGTTACATGTCCAACGCTCTGCCAATTGAGCTCTCGGAATCATGCACTATACCCTACTGCGATTTTACTAAATATACTGCACGCTAGCACAAACCACGCCTACCATAATACGTCATATCTCCAAACATTACCGATATACTCGGAGTCAGCACATCGCACTAAATATACTGTGCTCCAACGCAAGAATACACTTTTTATGATTTTGACACGAATTCGACTGAAGCTCTCTCGTTGCCAATCTCTTGTACGCAGTAAATTCATACAACCAAATGATCTACTGGTTAGCGCTGTCGACTTTCAGTCTGAAGGTCCATGGTTCCAATCGCTGTGAACTTGAACTTTTTTTTGCAACTTTTTTTTTTACCAATGTTTTTTCACTTCATTCTGGTTTTCCTTTTCCATAAAATATTTGAAGTCAAATAGGTTAGTGCGCTTAGGATAAACAGTCTCATTTTATTCAATTTTGTTGAAGAACTCAACTTTCGAAATATATTATTAATCAATGTGTTTCTACACTCCATTCGGTTTTCCTTCCTCAAAAATATTGCAATCAGGGATAGGTTAGTTCGTTGAGGATAAATAGTCTCTGAGTTTTGCCTAAGTAAAGTACTTTGAAGATAAGATATACGGTGGGCGTGGTATGTGCTAGCGTACAGTATATTTAGTAAAATCGCTACCCTACTATACGAAGCATGGCTGGCAGGATGGTACTATACACTATACAGTCTCCATATTTCCCCGTTCATCCTCTGGCATTGTCTTTCATGAAATTATTATGACTGACTCCTATGTACGATTGTTTTAGAACATTTCAGTATACAAGGAAAGCCAACGCCAGAGGTCGAAATGGGTACTATACGTTACTATCCAGCCAGCGAAGCTTCGTATATTGCATGATTTCGAGTGACTTCGGAAATTGGAAGGATTCTGCCGCTCGAAATTGGGGCTTTCCATCTCCATCTCCATCATTAAAAAAAGATATGCCTTTTAAGTTTAAGTAACGAAAGTCTGTTACGACAGCTACCATTATCATTTGTACACTTTCTGGAAAGATAAAATAATGGAGAAAAGGAACGGTTCCGTCATCCGATAATCAAACAAGCACTGTCTTCGTATTTGACATTGAATGAACCTGTACATTAGGGACAGATTTTGGATTCCACTAACTATGAAGTTGGGCTGAAGTAGTTGATAGAATTATGAAACGATGTTTTTTCAAATATCCCAGTAGTTAATCTGTTCATTCTTTTCATCTGGAATCTTAACCGTATTTCATTGAATTTGTTGGTTATTGTGGATTTCAATGAGTATTCAAAAAATTATGAAATTTCCCAGTACTTTCAAATGAAAGCTTTCTATGAAAGGGTCCTTTTGACCATTCAAAACAATTACTTTCAGGCAGATTATCCAACTTTGGAATTTTGTAACGCCCGAATATCAATATCGATTCAACTCATTCAAATTTGAAGGTCCAATTAGGGAAATTGAGTTCAAACTCCGTCTTGGAGTTTATTCTTGGTGAATTAATTGCTCGAATTCGTTCATCGCGGCCGTTTATCTTACGAAGCCGATCAATCTTCTCTTCCATATTGTTCATACTCACAGGTACTGGTGGAAATTGATGAATACGAACGAGGAATGATAAAAATCGATATTGAATAATTCAGAAGTATTTGTGGAAAGCGGTATGATGATGACGTTATTCAATGGGGCGTATGTGATGAGCCCGAGGTGCCTGAAATATACAGGGAGTTTCGAAATTATATACCAAAAATGATTTTTTTGAATTGTAGCAGTATATGACCAGATGAAGCTACTGTGTTAGCGAAACATGTCGTGTGTTTGAGAATTTTGTGGAAATCTTATCGTTTGGGAAGTTTTTTCATTCAAAAAGGATTTGACGAACAAACATCCCCGGGGTGATTTGATGAGGAATGAGCATGAAGAGCATTATTTGAGAACTCAGAACTTCGTTCTCGAGATACAAGTTGTTGGAGATAGATGATAAACACCGTTTTTCTGCAACCGACACAAAAGTCGTCCATTTTGATACCAAAATTAGCTCTTAAATTGACGTTTCTATTACTGACACAAAAATACGTATGTTGCTAGGCAACATATTTAGTTCCTAGGAGCTAAAGTTGAATTTTAGTTCCTAGGAGCTGAAGTTGAACTTTAGCGCCTAGGAACTAAAAAGGATGTACTGGACGTCATCAAGAATAAACAACATTGTGACGGTTGGTTATTTGGGTTGAGACGCATACCTGATTTGTTTCCGATTCCAGCAGATTTGGCATTTCATACCCATGCTGGAGATATAAATACACCTTATTATAGTTTGGTATTGGAATTATGAATATCTCAGCTAAGTCATTTTGTTTGATCAGGGAAGTCTTCAAGATTCAAATACTTGCTTGATCTGTATTTCATTCGTTATTCTCGGGATGGATAACTTGTTTTTGAATAATCACGGCAAGCAATAGTTTTTTGTCTCAAACAACGATATTGTTTAGCTTCATTTGATTATCAAGTCGAACACAGTGTGGTATGGAGAGGAATAAATAATCACTAATATCATTGTTGATATGCTCACTAACCTAACATTTTCCACGTCTCGTTCCTATAGCTGGCACTGGCGCGGTATTTGTCATTAGAGCACCTGGTCCATACACAAATATGTCACTCTGTGGTTGTATTTATATTGAAATTACAATTCGAACATCCTTGAAAACCTAACCAGTTGTTAATGCAGGTAGAATATTCTTACCACATGGATTATTTGTCAATATTTGTTGCATTGCATACATATGGCACGGCATTGGTGGTAACTTCACATGTTTATTTGAGTTAATTGTTTCGGTTGCAGAAAAAATAGCATGTTTCATTCGGATCAAAAGTGACTTTGTTCGACTCGCAAATTTTGCTTTCGCTCGGCTTCGCTAAACGCTCCGCCTCGCAAATGCAAAATTCGTTTGTCAAACAAAGTGTCACTTTTGATCCTAATAGAACAATCTACTATTTTTCTGTGACAGAAAAAAAGTTTTTTTTCCGGATATATAGGTGCACTGTTGATGAAAAATAAATCATAATATCACCGTCTCCA